CACACACACACACACACACACACACACACACACACACACACACACACTCCCCTTGGAGGCTCTGCAGCTGCTGGCGATGGTGGTTAAATAAGGAAGTTTGAAAGGGTCAGGTGGAAGCTGTTGGAAGTTTAAGGTGTCCCTCCCTTAAGGGGCCGGCTAACTCTCTTGTTCCTTTACAGCTTAGATGAAGGGCAGTCAACATTGCTACAAATGGCATCTCTCTAGGGCACCTACCATGGTGGCACTGCCCACCTCCCTCAACTGTGGTTCCAGGCACACATCTTTATTTGTGTCAGTATAGGAAGACGGGGCTAAGGATCAACCATGGTGTGTGTGGCAGGGGGGTGGGGGCATCTTGTATCTTAACCCTTGGAATGTCAGCGTGGGTTTACTGTGCAAGCTCCACTGGAGAACTTGAGGAGGAGACCAGGTTAAAGATGAAGGTCTGGATTCTGCTGGGCAGGAGCTTGAACGCCATTTCAAGAATGTTCATGGCCAGCTGGGACGCTTGCTCTGTCCCAAGGACACGGCTCAGCCTCTAAACAATAAGCAATCAGCATATACTAATCAGCAGGCCCTAGTGGCTGCACCTTCCAAGGGGATGTTGTTTTGATTAGAGAGGTAGGTGCTGCAGCTGCTCTCCTGCAGCCAGAAGTCAAGAAGGAATTTTGCAGTGTCCTGACCTCAAAGAATACAGAACCAGAAAACCATGGCCATTCCTTAGGGGAGTGCATCATCAAGGTCTGTGTCTTGACCAAGTTCCTGCCGTCAACTCCAGAGCCAAGCCCCGCTTCCCGCTTCCCTTCGGTGGCTGCGGAAGAGGAAAATAAGTTGACAATAAGAGGCCAAAATGGCAGTGGAGTGCATGGGCAGAGGGGCTGCCAGGTGCTGTATTTTAACTGTTACATTTAAGGGGTCCCCGTTCACTAAGACTTTTTCTGGCCTTGCTTGAGGTGAGTGCACTGTGTGAGAGCAAAGGCGCGTCCCTGACGCTTCCGAGGCTCAACCTTCTGAGCGGAAGAAAGGAATCAGGCGCCTCCTCCGCACCCCTCCTCTCCTAGGGCACAGGGCTGCCCCAAGGCTTTCCTGAGGTCCCCAGGCTGGAGAGGAACTCCGGACCAGGCGCAGTTGAGGACGCCGGTGGATCCGCTTGAGAGTCCAGACAGCAAGCCCTGCAGAACCGCCAGGGCCCTTCCAGAAATCTCTGCATCTGTGTGGGCAGCGCCGGCAGCGTTCGGCTCAGAGAGTCCTACTCTGGGCAGGTCCAGGGGCCCCGCAACCCCCTTCGCGGGTACAGGTGAAGCTGTGGCGAGCAGCCACAGAACCCTGGAAAGTGCGGGCCCGAGGGCTTCCTCCTCTGCCCACACCCCACGAGTTTTCAGGGCGGAGTGGCCTCGGACCTTGGCAGCCGGCAGTGTGGTGCGCCAGGCTCAGTCTGGGTGCGTTCAACGTCATACAGGCGCTGCTCTGCTGGGGTCACAGGACGCCGTTTTTGCTTTCCGGGGACCCACGGGCTGAGAGAGCGAGGCAAAGCCATCTGCACGCTGCGCTCCTATAAATAGCGCTCGGGTGCCCTCTCGGCGCTGTCCCTCCCAGCGGCTGCACTGCGCGCCAAGACACAAAGTTGTACGCAGGGACAGGGGAACCCAGGGCAGTAGGCGCCCTGCACCTTAGAACTGAACCGGAAATATCGTGCTTTAGGCGGGGGACTCAGTTGAGCCGCCTACCTGCGTTGTAGTGAATCTGGGCTTTGGGGAAATTTTTGACCAAGCGCAAGTGGGAGTCGCTAGCATTCTGGCCATGAACACAACCTGGCGTTCTTCTCATCCCCGGAAACACCTGCTTCTGTAATTTTTCCTGCGCCAGCCAGAGTACCTCGGACAGGACCGCCACCCACATCGCTTGGCACCCGCCACCCTGGCGTTTCCTCGTTGAGTTTCCTGTCTTCAGCTCTGTGCTCCATCGGGAAGTACTTGAGTTTGGGGTGAGCATTTATTTTGTTTCTCTGAGGTGTGATCGAGAGGGTCTGGAGACTTTTTAGATGTCAATGGACAAGTGTGACTTCAGGGGCCCCAGGCAAAACTGATTTTGGGGCGGAGGAGGTTAGGGTGGTGAGTTCTGCATGAGCTGCTTAAAGGACAAAGGTAACAGAACCAACCAGACAGCTCCAAGGGAGACTTCAGCCCAGAGAATTGGTGGAAGTGCGCGCGCCGCCGCCGCCGCCGCCGCCGCCTTTCCTGCAGCGCTGTCGATCTAGCCACTGGCATCTTCCAGAGCTCCGGGATCCCGGGGTAGCAGGCGCCGCCCCGGAGCAGAAGCGGCAGGCTGCGGCTTGCGCACGCGGCACACCATGGGCTCCGCGCGCCGGGCGCTGTCCGTGGTACTGGCTGTTCTGCTGGTTCTCGCGCTGCCTGGGTTGCCTGTCTGGGCACAGAATGACACCGAACCGATCGTGCTGGAGGGCAAGTGTCTGGTGGTGTGCGACTCGAATCCAGCCACAGACTCCAAGGGATCATCATCTTCCCCGTTGGGAATATCGGTCAGAGCAGCAAACTCCAAGGTGGCCTTTTCGGCGGTTCGGAGCACCAACCATGAGCCCTCCGAGATGAGCAACAAGACACGCATCATTTACTTTGATCAGGTCAGACCCCCGAGGGATGCAGGGCGCCCAGCGGGTGGGTGGTCGCTAAGTACCGAGAGCTGCCTGCCCAGATTAAGCTAGTATGATTAGGATGTGGCGAGATCATTTAAGTAGCTATCTCCCTGAAGGTATCAATCAGAAACTTTAACTATCTCCTTTCCCCAACAACCACAGCCCCAATACCCCCTTGGTGCCTAGCAGAGGCCTGGGCGGTGGGGTGGCTTGGGAGCGCAGAGGCAGGCACCTGGAGATCAAAACAAGTTTAGCAGCAACAGGTCATGGGGGCTGAAGGGAATACTGTCCCCGGATGCTGAGATCTACCGGTAGAGAACTTGGCCCTCTAGCTCAGACTTAGCAGCAAGTGCCCTGGAGGTGTTCCTGAGGGGCCCTAGAAGAGAGCCCATAAATGTTTGAGTTGTGTTTCCAGGTGGGAAACTCATCTCTCCAAGGAGCTCTGGGACTCCAGAAGGTGTAGAGACCCTGCCAAGTGGACGCAGAGGATTGAGGGTGGGGTTCTCAGGGCAAGAAGCTATGCAGGGTCCAGGGTGGCTGGATCAACACTACCCTGCCTGGTGTAGACCAAAAGCCCTTCTCACCACCACTTGACTTAGAAAAGTTGCCCAGGTAGGAAAAAAGGGGATTGAGTAGTTGTGCAGAGCTTAGGTGGGTAAGTGCTGGGGAGCTGGGTTTTCCTTCCTGGTCTTGGTTTGGTTCCTGCAGGGCATTGCAAGGTGCTGAGGAGGCACAGATTTTGAGGTTGCAGTGAGGGGATGGGGCTGAATTGATGAAAGCCGAAGGGTCTGCTGAGTGGCTCCGGGCTCCGTGGACTGGAGTGATGAACAACCGCGGAGTATCCCTATAGCAAAGCCCCCTAGGACAAAAGCCCAACTCCAGCATGTTGTACCCAACCCCAGCAGTACCTGGAGACTGTCTAATTCCAAAGTCACAGTTCCCAGCTGTATGCAGAGCCCAGTAGGCAGGTCAAGTGGGGCTGCGGGATGTGCCAGAGCAGACTGGTTTTTGTGCTAAGTGATACATTTGCCAGCCAGTCAGGGACAGAGATGTCTCCCTAGAGGTTTAGTATGGGATAGGTATAAATTAAAAAAAAATGAATTAAGTAGTACTTTTGGAGATTTTGGTGCAGTATTTAGCAAAGTGAAGGGAAGGGAGCGTGACACCACCCCTGGTTGCTGTGTTAGTGCCCTATCTAAATGTTGGAACCCTGTGGACATCGTGCTACAGTGCTTTGGGACATTCTTTTCAATGACCTTCCCATCAATTAGACGAGGAAAGGGATATTTCTTTTGTTCAGGGAGCCATGCATCTTAGAGACAACAAGACACATTCAGTTATAAATCTTGATGTGCTTGGATGCTTCAATTACCCTGTGGAGTCCGCATCCGGCTTTGTGTTTATTAACCAACACTAATCAGACACCTCTATTTTGTTAATGAAGGATGCCTTTTGTATATGAATCAGGACATTAGCTAAGTGCCTTACTTTATTTTCAATGTGCTGGGAAAAGATGTTTTTGTCAAGGTTTTGTCAGAGAATCTTACACAGCTGGAGTCTGATCTCAGGGATCTGGTGCTTCCAGGGAAGAGGCTCGGATCTCAGTCCAATCGCATACACATTCGTATTTCAAGCAGAGCTGAGGCTGGTGCATTTACCTAAACGTTCTAAGCGTTCTGACGTTCTGGTGTGCTGTGGAGAGGCAGTAGTGCACTTTGAGGAAGAATGCAGGAAGTGTGTGTGTATTCATTTCGGCGAGAAGGCGATGGTTAACACAGTTATCAACAGACCAGTTCTGGCAAACAGAAAATATGTGTTTAGAGACACATCTGACTTTTATGGATTTACTCCTTGGCAAAACATGAAAGAAAGCCTCCTTATTTGTCTTCTGATCTCTCAGGAAGGGACTTACCTCTGAGACACTGAAATTTAGCTGAGGACTCACTGAAATTCAGAGTTAATGTCTTAACCAACCAGACATTACAAGGTGTGTTATGGCTTTCTTAGAAACAGTGCTTAACTTCACTTTTCACTTTTGACCCTTGGACATCAAATGGATTTTTGGTGACTGATAGGATCAAGCAGGACACTGAAGAACACAGAAAGGCCCCTCAGTTTACTGTCTGATGCGTCCATGAGCTTCTCTTGGCATCTAGCCAAGGCTGACTCATCACCAATGTATTATGTTAAGGCTTAGATGGTACATAAACCAAACAAATGGCCATGGACCTGAGGAGAGCCCTGGCAGAGGCTGGGAAACGGACCTGGCTTTCCCATCTCTGTTATACCAACTGTTGGTGTCAAGGATGACACCTCATGGTGGAGGGGGTCTGCCTCTGTGAGGCATCCAGGAATTACTGCAGAGAAGCCCATGGATGTCCATTGGCTGGCTGGGTAACGTCACTTCTGGACACTGGGAAGGCTTATAGACTGTGGAGACGTAACTGTATGATAGATGCCTGCCATCTGATTCTCTGTGTAAAGCTAACACACACCTTTCTATGTTACTTTGATGACCCTAGAGACATCTGGCCTGGAAATTGAGGCATGAATACAACACCGTTGCTTTGTTTTTATTTTTGCCTGTACTATTTATAAGGTAGAAGAACCTTTCATTATGCACATCCATTTTCCAAGTCACTTAAGAGGAAAGAAATAGGATTATCTGTTTTATTCTCTATTATTTCTGAAGTTAGTAATTGAAAAAAGAAGAAAGGGAGGAGAGAAGAAATAAATATAGAAGGAAGATATAAAGGAAAGAAGAGGGAGAGAGGAGGAAGAGGAAGGGGAGGAAGAGGGGGAGGAAAAGGGAGAGGAGAAAGAGGGGGAAAGAAGAGGGAGGGAAGGAAGAAGGAATTTACTCAGTCAAAAATTATAATAATTTATCTTTATTTGTTGTTTTTATCTGTAGATCCTGGTTAACGTGGGCAATTTTTTCACACTGGAATCTGTTTTTGTGGCGCCTAGGAAAGGAATCTACAGTTTCACTTTTCACGTAATTAAAGTCTACCAGAGCCAAACAATCCAGGTGTGTGCGTCGACCTGTGTGCTCTCTGACGCTGCGTTTAAGTCCGCATTCAGACAGTCGCTCGCATAGTAAAGATAGTTGTCCACCCTTTTAATGTATTATTAAGGATTTAATTTGCATGTTTTCCTCATAACATCCATTTGAGTATGTGATAAGGCACCTAGAAAAGAAGCAAATGAGGTATTACTCTGATTACAGCCCAATGTAAAGCAAAGCAAGCAAACAAACAAAAAACCCAAAACAAAACAAAACACAGCTTGGCAAAACCTGGCACCAATCTCTGCAGAAGATCTTGGTTTTATCTCATTCCTGAACAAAAGTTATCCAAAGTTATAAGGAAGAAAATCTTATAAAACTTTACAAATGGTCATTAAATAAGCAAAGCACATTTATAATCGTTTAAAAATTATGAGATACAATTAGCCATGGAAACCAATCAACCACGATACGGCCACTGATGATTCTTTTGAGAAAGGATGTACAGAGCACATCATGCTATGGTTTACTTTTAATACCTCCATCTCAGGAGCTTCTTCTCAGTTGCAGTTGCATGGTTAGTCATGTGTCTTGTCTGGTGCTTGCACGTACAAACTTGATTTTACACTAGAGAAGACATAGAGATATTATAGCATTAAAATATGTCAATAATAATATATAATACATCAACAATATAGAGCATACATAATAAACAATATAATAAGCAATACAGTGCATACATAATAACAATATAATAAGCAATACAGTACATGTCTATGTAATTCTAAGATATGTTTTATTGAATGTTTAGCATTTATATTACATTTCATATCTCTATGATTAATAGATGGCACGGTCGCCTGTCACTTTTTTATACCCTAGTGACTCAATAAATTGACCAGCCTTAGATTGAATCTCTTCCATATTAATTTTAACCTTGAAAAAAGAGAGTATAGAAAGATCACATCTGCTTCCCTGGAAACTATGGTGTTTCAAATGACTTCTGTTGCTGCTCAAATTGCAGAAAAGGAGACACCTACTCCAACGACGCCGGCAGCATCTGTCTGTGTCTGACTTTATTCCCCAAAGAGCTGATGCTGAGTATGTGGGGCCAGTAGAGTAGTTAGCTTTGTTTACACGCCAAAGGAAAGTCAGTTTTCACATGATCAGGTGGCTCTCTGGATGGCATTGTTTTGGTAGGTAGTTAAGGAAAGTTCTATAGAAACAAACACATGCACATACATTAAATATACTCACAATAGCCATACATCAAATCTGACCCCGATTTGTCCAGTTTGAAGGGAAGGAGGCTATTTCCCTGAATAACAAATGTTTGGCCAGCTCAGCTGTCTTAGACGATTTCCTAGCACACGTTCTGATTTTAAAGGGAACTTTTTCGTGCTCATCTCTTTCCTTGCAGGTTAACTTGATGTTGAATGGGAAACCAGTCATATCTGCTTTTGCTGGGGACAAAGACGTGACTCGAGAAGCCGCCACTAATGGAGTACTACTGTACCTGGACAAAGAAGATAAGGTTTACCTAAAACTGGAGAAAGGTAACTTACTCGGCGGCTGGCAGTATTCCACGTTTTCTGGCTTTCTGGTGTTCCCTCTATAGAACTTGACTTCTCCGTGATGCCCGTGAGTGAGGGCACCCATCCCTGGGTTACCAGAAGATCACGTTTTACCCTTGGATTGATGTCCCTTTTGTTTTGCTCATGAGTGACTATGGATTCTCTTTAAGGATTCTAGACCCGTCTGGAGAAACATAAATGTCACAGATTATTTTCATGTGTGTGCCAGTTTCCTTATGTGTCAATCTGGACTCCAAAGCTGGAAATCCCTAAATCTGCTTACAGGTTAACAGTCAGAAGTTGTCTCAAGGTTCGTTCTATTTTGTTTCCTGCTGTTACTGCATTGGGGTTTTCAGTTCTTTGTTCTTGAAACGCCGGCAAGCTTGTCTGAAAGTTAGAAATCTTGGAAGTTCTGACTTCAGTGGTTATTCTGGAACTGCCAAAGACTCGTATCTCGTGTGGGTTCATTGGTTACACTTGTGTTCTTTTCCTTTGTTTGGGATTATAATTACTTTGGCATTGGTTTGTTTTGTTTTCTTAAGGTAACTGGGATTGTATTTTAGTGAGTGTCATTGTGTTTTCTCTACCCATAAGGTAACAAATGGCTTGCCTCAAAATGTAACTTGACTCTGAGCTCACCCACATGATCTCCCTCTTGTTCCCTAAAATGAATGCTCCATAGTTGTATTTTAATTATATATGTGAAAGAGTCATATTTTCCCAAATTATATTTTCTAAATAGGAAAAATAGATCATAATCTGACAAAGAAAAAGTTACTTACCCCAATTCTAAATGCTCAGTCCCCAAACCTTGGCAAAATAGCTCTCCTTGGTGGAAAATCTTATACTATATTGCTCAACTTTAATTAACGTGATTGATAACAACCACTTTATTAAAACCATAAGGGATTATTTTCCCCTTCAACATGACCATGTTATTAACTGGAGATGGTACGCCCTTGTTTTTAATTATATCTATTTTTCAAATCTCCTGTTGTGTTTGAAATATCATCTGGTTTTTGCCTTAATTCCTTAACTTGTAAATATATATATATATTTATCTGTTCAGCTAATATTAAATCCAGATACTCCATAACAAAATTTAGTGCAATATCTTATTTTGTCTTTTGTATAGGTCATATGAATTCATAAAATTATTTCTGTCTCTGTTGCAGAATAAAGATTATTATATGTTAGTGGGATGGTTGGTTTGGTCCTTTTGGTTCTGACAATGTGTCTTCCGTAGAGTTTGTGCGCCCTCCACCATTCCTTCCATCCTGTGTCCTTCCCTCTTTCTCCATTTCCTTCCTTCTGCCCTTTCTTCCCTTTTTCTAGTTTCTTCCTTGAGTTAAGAAAAAACCAACCCTTCCTGAGTTTTCACGTAATGTTCTTTGAGTTGGTATAGGAAATCTTTACTGTATTTAATATGTCCAAATCCAGGAGTGGCAAGCTTGCCAAAAGGGAATCAATGAATTTAGCAAACTCTTCCTTCATAAGGACTTGTGAGGAAAATGAAGTTAAAAAGATCTCTTGAAATCTCACAAGGTTGCTCCATGTATGAGAGAGTGGTGGCCAGCATCAGGCTGGTATCTCCAGAGGACTTTGACAAAGATTCCACTCTTACAGCATCCCTCCTCAAAGGGGGAGACAATATTTCTGTGACTCTGGGTGGTGATGGTGATGGCTCCATTTCCAGGTTTGTGGCCTGCTGGTGGCAAGGGTCCTCTGGTAGCTGGGGTCTCAGGAGTATGTCACAAAGAGACCCACACAGGTACAACTTCCAGTGTCTATGATTAATCTCCAAGTTAGGATGTTCAGTCAGCTCTAGGAAGACACCTCTGTTTCCTAGAAATAACTCTCTGCAGACACTGGCAACAATCCTTACTGGCTTTCTGTTAATAGCCTGATTTTGTAATTTGAAAAAAAATATAAAGCAAACAAAACGAAACAGCATTTTATAGAGAGACAACAAAGGGAGCTTTAGTCCCCAGGCCGGTGCAAGCCTCTAACCATGCAACAACTCTGCCTAGCAGATAATCCCACCCCATCTATGTATACTGAGTCTGCATCCGGGCATCCAGCAAGAGAATCATAAGTGACTAGATCTGTTAGTCATTATTTTGGCAACGCAGGTCACAAGTATTGAATGACCAATTGTCACCTACCGCAGGATGGAGAAAGTGGGGCTATTGTCAAAATAGCCTCAATGTATCAATGTATTTCATCAGTGCGTCAATGTATTTCACGAATGGACTTGTAGCCAACGTTGGGGGCTTGTCCTCATCTTTCTTGATTCTTATGATCATTAAGATACATTGGTGAAGCTCTGAACTTTGACTCCCAAGTTCTAACATGTGCATCTTGGGATGCAGGATCCATTGTGTACTGGGGGAAGACCTGAGACAGTGGCTGTCAGATGTCGAGGTCTGTGATGCTAGAGCCTGAGTGAAGAGATCAGGCAAGGATGCGAGCCATGGAGGTCCCACTCAGCGAGCCTCTAGGAGGTTAAGAGCTATCACAAGCCCATGGTTCAGAACGTAAAAATGGCAAAAGAGAGCACAAGCAAGAGGTGGGATGACTTAGACATGTCATAATATTTCATTTGCATTTTAATAAATAAAGCTTGCCTGAAGATCAGAGAGTGAAAGAGCCCTACTGATCAGCCATACAGACCAGGCAGTGGTGACACACACCTTTAATCCCAGTAGCCACACTAGTTTGCCTTAGAAACTTAGAAACTTAAAGGCTGTGCAAGCCTTTAAGACCAGCCTGAGAGAGGAATGTAAGACAGGAGGAGACAGCTCTCAGATACAGTCTCATTCTGAGATTCATGGAGGCAGGATCACCATTTCAGACTGAGGTAGAGGTAAGAGCCAATGACTAGCTGTTTTACTTTTCTGACCTTCAGGTTGAACCCCAATTTCTGTCTCTGAGTTTTTATTAATCGTGCTACATAGTCCAGAAAACCCCAGCTTTGGGTAGATACAGGATGTGGTCCTGTGACCACTGTTTGTTCTCCCCATCACTCCTGCAGGGTCTTTGTCTTTCTGAGCTTGAGTTACTGCATTTGCAAAGAAGTAATTGACTATGGAGAACTGTGAGCATTGCTGTAAGACACAGGAAGTGCTTGGGGCCTGGTGGGAGCTGGATTCTCCAGTCTGAACACTGAATCTTGTGATCCCCAACATTTAAGGCCTTAAATGGTCAGAGCAACAAGGCTGTCTATGGAGAGTACAGGGTCCTCACTGATAGCGGGAGCTGAGCTGGGATGAGCAGGACGAAGACCAGAAGTGGCGTTGTCACAAATATTTCCTCAAATGGCACCAGGTACTCTCTGCATAGTCTATAGCTTGAAAAACTGTTTTCAAAAGCTGATGTGCTCAAAAGATGCCCACTAGTAGAACCCTGCATTTGCCCTGGCCCCTCAGCACTTGCAGCGGGAGCCCCTCCCTCCTAGACACTTCCTAGATTCTGTGTCCCTGCCCCTTGCATGGAATGCAAACCATTCTCTGCAGCGAGCAGTTTCCCCTAAAAGAATCTCAAGGAAACAAAGCTGAAGGAACAAGCAGGGGTTCAGGGAATTGGCTTGATTCCAGGTGTTTTGGGGAAGCTGCCTGTGGTTCACCAACTGGATTAGACTTAGAAATTTTTGAATTCACTATTATTGTTGTCTACTTAAGTTTGCTTCCCTCTTTCTTTTGATTTTTTTAGTGATATTTATTGTATTCTTTGAGGTCCTAGCCTCTACCTTTTAGCAAATAATTGCTTTAAATTGTGTATGTGTATGTTTGTCATGTGTGTTCACCTGTGTGTGTATGTTTGTCGTGCATGTGTACCTGTGCATGCATGTTTATTGTGTGTATATACCTGTATGTATATGTTTGTCATGTGTGTTCACCTGTGTGTGGATGTTTGTCATGTGTGTACACCTGTGTGTACGTATTTGTTGTGTTGTACATCTGTGTGTTTTGGCCATGTGTGTACACCTGTGTGTGCATGTTTGCCATGTATATGCACCTGTATGTGCATGTTTATGGAGGTCAAAGGTCAATATCAGGTGTCTTCTTTGATCATTCTGACCTTAATTATGGGACAGGGTCTCTCACCGAACCTGGAGCTTACCAGTTGGCTAGCCTAGCTGTCCATCAAGTCTCAGTGACCTTCCTGGCTCCACCTCCCTGGCACTGGGGTTATAGATACATTGCACCTGGCTTTTTACCTGAGTTCTGAGGGTCTGGACTTAGACCCTCGTGCTAGTGTGGTATGCACTTTACCCTCTGAGCCATCTTCTCAGCCTCCAGTTTAGGTTTTGAAACCATCGTTGTCAGCTAACACAGATGAAATTATCCTCACGATGGACTGTGGGCTGCAAGATCCCAAGGTTGTAGCATGAGTGATAACCCCCTTTCCTTGCTTGTCCGTTTTCCGTAAGCACCAACCAAAGCTAGACTTGTCACGTGAAGCCACAGTAACCTGTAGACGTGGTCCCACCCCACTGAGGGCCCTAGGCTTGACTGATCCCCCTGTACTGTATAGATCACCTGTCGCTTGAGCAACAGCGTCCATTGGGCTTAGCAAGGCCCACATATCAGTTTGCCTGGTGCTATTCAAAGGGCTAAGAACAGAGATGTGTGGCACCTTGGTCTTCACACAAAGCCTTGGCTCAATTCTGGTCCCTAGTGACTAGCAGAGGGGGAACGTGGAGGATTGGAGATGTTGGTACCTAGCTAGGTGGGTTTTATTCTCTTTCTAATTAGTGTGGCTTTTGAGATTAAAATCACTCATGTGCATGCAGGCATGCACACACAATCATGCTACCCCAACCTTTCTGAGAGGCAATAATAGTCCTGTGTCCTTGACCCTAAACTCTTTCATCTTCTTTTCAAGTTAACACATGTAAGAATCACCTGGGGACCTTGGTCAGAGGTTGACTTGGATGGAGTAGATCTGGGAGGGGTTTGTACCTCTATGCTGGTAACAACTGCGTCCTGCATCCTCAGCTGCTGCTGCTGACTTGGGTGCTTGCTTACAGGAGAACAGACTTTCATCATTTCTACAGCTTACTTACTCATACATTCTACCTACTATAGCACCTACAGCTTCTGGGGCTTGCTAGAAACCCTGGTGGTGGACCCAAGACTCACACCAGATCTACCCAGTTGCAATTTGCATTTTAAGAAGGGTTTATGTTCTTGTCAAGAGGTTTGTTTTTTTTTAGATTTATTCATTTTGTTTTATGTGCATGGGTGTCTGCGTGTGTGTCTGTACATCGTGTGCATGCAGTGCACCTGGAGGTCAGAAGAGGGCATCAGATCCCCTGGAACTGGAGTTATGGACAGATGGTGCTGGGAACTGAACCTGGATCCTCTGGAAGAACAGTGAGTGCTCTTAACAGCTGATCTGCATCTCCAACACCACGCGAGGGGTTTTAAGCACCGCCAGGTTCTAGAAGCCTTGTCTTTAAGGGAGACTGTCTGCTTTGGAACCACGTGGTACAACAGGCTGCCTCAGCTTAACAAAGTCTTTCAAGTTCCTGTAGGTTCAGGGTATTTCCTTTGCAGTGACAGAGGCATGGGAGTCTACCTGTGACTCAATGTGTAGTGGCTGCTTTGTTTTCTGTGAGCAGTGGTGCTCGCCCAGGTCCAGGTTTCAAGGAGGATCAGTCTGGAACCTCATTCTGTGAGGGAAGAGAGCCAGGGAGCATCTGGAGCGCAGCAAGCAAGGGTTGGAGGATGGCTCCGAGTGGGGGGAAAGATGCTGGACCACCGGCCTGAAGATACAGGTAAGTCATCCACACCACATGGCGTCTGGGGAACCTTCCTCCCCAGACCAGCGTTTGTTCTGAAGCACCGGGAGCTGCAGCTAGCTTTCCTCTGTAAACAAAGTGCTCCCCTCTGAGGTGGCAGTGCCTCTCTCTGGATAAGGATAGATTTTTTTTCTCTCTCTCTCCAGCTCCTCTCTAACGCTTCTCTGGTTTTTGTCGTGTTTAAGCTTTTCTGTCAAACCATAATCAATAACAGACAGAAAATACGCGGAAAATTAGAGTGGAGTGGCCAACTATTTCAACATTCTCTTTCCCCCTTATCTTCATGACAAGTGTGTGTGTGTGTGTGTGTGTGTGTGTGTGTGTGTGCACGCGCGCGCGCGTGTGTAATGGCTTGACTGACCTGCCCATCAGGGAGTCGTTTCCTAGTTTTCT